GGTTAAAGTAATGAGAAAGGGCTTATGGGAGAGAGATGTGGTCCCTTCTTCCTAAAGATGTTCTAGTGCCCATCATCAGCAGCCACACTACCTGACTGATCCATAGCTCCAACATGATATCCTGGAGGAGCAGCAAGCCAACTGGGACTTCTATCCACAAAAAGAGCAACTAGGGGGAAAAAAAAAAAGAGGCTGTTAAATCACCCCTAGGTTCAATCCCCACTATAAAAGAAAAAGAAAAAAGAAAATGCTCTTGAATACCAAGAAATTAGATTTTATGACTTTGAAGGGAAAGACACGTCAGATGAAAAAAGTTAAAACTCTGAAGGAGAGATTATTTTAAAAGCCTTTCAAAAATGAAATTTTAGCTCAAATATTTATTGATCATCAGCAGTACAGGACAAACTGTACCTGGGGCTGTAATTCTTACTCTCAAGGAATTTATAGTCTTAGGAAAGCGCAAAACAACACGCTCAGATATCCAGCCACCATTTATTGAACATCTACTGTGAAAGACAATATGATTAATAATTTATAGGATGTTTATAATATTTACAAATACTCTGCAAGGTAGATATTTTCCTCAGATAACAAACAAAGGGACTAAATGTTTAGACTGGTTAAGAAATTACTCAAAGACTCACAGCTCAGGAGGAAATCTGAGCTCTAGTCTCCCTCCTGCAATTATTGAATCTGCCTGCTCCCAAGGGCTTGGTACAGCCAAAGGAAGCTTTGATGGGTTCTGCTCCCTGTTCCCACCACATATTCAAGAGCACTAACAATTCATTTGTATGCATTTGTTTCCTAAAACTGGTCACCATTAACAGCTGACTATAAAGGAATAAAATTAGTTCTATCTCTGAAATTTAGAATATCCACTGGATGACTGGTAGGAGAATCAATTCATTGACTCAAAGATGCACCATGACACATTCTCCCATATTTAAAATCGCCTGTGCTGTCAGAAACTTTGGAAACTTATCTTTTAAAATAAAGCTGTTTAATAAAACAATATTTTAAAATGATCTATCTTACCAATATAAGTTATAGAGTTTTAGAAAAAGATCAACTCCTTACTGTTGAAAATAACTTTAGTTGTACAATGTGTTTAAGAAGCCTAAAATCTCAAGAAGTACATAAAATTACAACCTGAGAGTTTTACCTGAAATATTTAATAAGTTATATAGTAGATTAAATGGTT